TCTTCTGAGTGCCAGGTGCCTGGTACCAAGGAAGGCCTGCATGAAGACACTTGGGTTTGTTTTTGTAAACGGTTTTAAAAGAATGAGCAGGGAGTTGCAAATGTGCCTGAGCAAAGATAAAAAAAAGACCACAAAGGAGAAAACACTTCAGCAATAAGACAGGGGAGTGCAGAGCTCTGCCAGCATCTCCACAGGCTCTGCCAGGTCATTGCTCACCCCTCAGCTCCACCAACAGCCCCTTCCCTGCAGCAGTCCGAGGGGGACACTGCCCCACAGCTGATGGTCTGGGGGGACTTGGGTGTGCTGCAGGGGCTGCCCCCCTGCCCTCCAGGCTCTGCTCCTGCACTGGCTCTGTGCTCACGGTCATTTAATTGAAGGTGGCACAGCCACATCCAGCGAAGCATCAGCTGCAGGTGCAGTGCCTGCAGGGTGCTGGCACAACATGTGTTGGCCCACTTCCCTGGCTGCCCATGGCTCCTGAAGTGCTTTCAGAGAGCAATTACTTCCCCATGTCGAGTGCTCTCAATTGCCTGTATTTTTTGGAATTGTTCAAGTTTTCCCCCAACACCGTTCTCCTTTCCAAAGGTGCCAGCTGAGAACTTTTCACTTCTGAGCCCCTGTTGTGCATCCCTCCAGGAAGCCGGAGATGCAGCTTGTGGTGGGACACCTGCATCTGCTGGGCAGTGACAACAAACCCTGCAGGGGCAGTGGCACTGATCACGGAGGCCCCAGGGGCACAAGTGCACCGTGTGTCAGGGTCCCAGCCAGTGAACGGCCCAGGCTGGCCTTGTGGCCACCAGACCTGGCTGGGAGGGGGATGGTGCTCACGTGGGCTTTTCCCAGAGCCTCAGGTTCACTAGGTCACTGGGAGTGACCAACAGGAGCAGCCCCTGAGGAAGGATGGTGGGAAGGAGAGGGGAAGCAGCGTTCCCAGGAGGCCGTACTGCCTTTCAGATCACACCAAGCTCCTCCAGCCCAGAGAAGGGGCACCTTGCCCCCGTGCCCCCGACCAGCCCGTGTGCCTGACTCCGATCTGTCTCTCCCAGGTGTCTCTCAGCCAGGAGTGCACTCGTGCCATCATGAAGCTGATGTACTGCCCGCACTGCCGGGGCATGTCCAGCGTGAAGCCCTGCAACAACTACTGCCTGAACGTCGTCAAGGGCTGCCTGGCCAACCAAGCAGACCTCAACACCGAGTGGAAGTACCTGATGGGTAAGGTGGCCCTCCTCTGCTGCAGCACCTGGTGCCTCTAGAACGCCCTGGGGGAGTGGTTGTGAGTAAACACAGGGCTGCTGGAGGCTCTTTGACACTGCAGCTTCGTGTTGTGATCTGACGCCCAGGAGTTACTGCAGGACGTTTTGCTGGGCTTTAGCACCATCAGAAAGGACACTGGGGGGCTGGCTAACAAGCTTAAACAGGTTTCATCTTGCATGTGCTCGCTTGGGATTGCTCACCCTTCACATCCAGGTCATTCCTCCTTCCCTCCCGAGTGCTGAGGGACAGATCTGCCACCCGTACACACACACAGCATCCTCCCCAGCCTCACCAGGGCACCTGGGAGAGCAAAGCAGGAGCACTTGGCTGCCCTCCTTTGGAGCTGGTCTAGAGATGTGGAGCCATAAGCTGTGTCCATGGGTGGAGAGCAAAGGGGTCAGAATCACAAGCTTCTAAACAGGAAGAGGTGTCTTAAACAAACCCCTGGGGAGGGAGAAGTTACAGGAAGGTATTGCCAGGAATGGGAAGATCAGGCTGGTTTTTAAGTGAGAGCTCGTTTCCATTCTGTCACTCAGCAAAGATGATGTGTATTTTAAAGTGGGTTGTGTGCATAGGGCAGTGTCCATTTCATTGATCTGAACACCAGAGCTGTCACTGTGATAGTGTGCTCTGATCTCTGTGCAACACAAGCTGGAGAACCTCAGCCAGGCACTTCTGCAGGAAGTTCTGCATTGCCTGACCAGACCCAGGCACCTCTTTGAAGACCTCAGGTATCACTCAGCTGGTTTTCCAGAGCCTGTGGCTCCTGGTTTAAGTGTGAGCTACTGCTGAGAGTGGCTTGTGGAGCTGATGGACATGGGTTAAGGCTGGGGAGGCTCTGTGTTTGGAAAATGGTGTGTTTGTGTTAGAGCTGGGGCTAATGAACCAAGTGGCAATTTACTGTGGCTAATTGGAAGTGCTCCCCCTGAGAGCAGCTTGGAGGGCTGCTGGAAAAGACAGGGAGGAACATTCCATTCCCCAAGGGTTTACACCAAGAATTTGATGGTGCTTTGGCCTTTCTGAGCAGAGCAAGGCAGTGGTTACCAGTCACTGCTCTCCTGCAGGATGACTGCCTGTCTCCTGAGAGGTCAGCAGACAGCTCCCCTTGATGGACAGGGAGGCAGTTCAGGGTTCATTTTGCACTTACTCTGCCTTCCTCTTCCCCAGGAGACACTGTCAAAAGGTGATGGCTGGGAGGAAATTGGAGCTTCTTTCACATTGCATTTCAAATGGTGCATTTTGGTGTCAGAGGTCACAATTTGATCAAAGGCTGGAGCAAGATGTGCAGTCAAAAGCAGGAGTTCACTGGCATCATCCATTCTTCTTCACCCTTCTCCAGGCCCAGCTGTGTAGCTGGAGAGGGTTTTGTTACACTAAACAGAGTTACTCTTTCAGTTTGACAAATTAGGACAGGTCAAATTAAGGGAGATTTTTACAATAAGTGGTTCAAACATAATTTATCACTAATTTAGGGGTGCAGCCTTTGATTTAAATGTCTGTCTCAACATTAGTGCCTCTGCAAGCTAAAAGTGTCTGGAAAACAGTCTCAGAGATGACAACACAACCCCTGAGTGGCAGCAAAGTTAAACTGCAAGCTCTTTAATGTTGCAGGAGGTATCTCCCAGAACACACAAAAAAATGTTATCCCCTTTTGTGGCACGTTTAGCTCTAGAAATCAGTGCTGCCACAGGACTCTTGCAGGAAAAGAGAGCACATTAACTTGGAAACTGTGGCCCTTGTTGCCATTCTTGCTGAAGCTGGCCAGCAAAACCTTTTTTCTTCTTTTATGTGCTGAAAATAAGCACAAAATGTCTCCAGGCTGTGGCTTTCCATGTTGTTAAATCCCATATTACAGACCTGAACAAAGAGTATTTTGTGATCCATGCTCCAGCCTGGCTGTTTGACCCTCCCAGTTGTTTGGCTGTTGCCATTGCTCCCCACAGGCTGGACCTGCTTTTGGACTGTGAGCCCTGTGGGCATGATCTGGGATCTCCTGGGGGTCGTGTTGTCCCTCCTCTAGTCTTTGCCCAGCTTGGTCATAGTCTGATTGATTGCTGTGAGGGTCTGAGCATCAGTCACATAACAGCCAAGGGAACGGGCTTGGCAGTGCTGAGCGTGCTGCTGAATGGGCAGCAGGGGGCCCAGGGTCAGACCCTCACTGTTAACTCACTGCACCCACTGTGGACCTCGTGTGTCTGCACAAACCTCACCTAGACCTTGCAGAAGTCATCTGGGGCCTTTCTGCCAAGTGCTGCTGGCTTGCAGGGGCTGAACGCTTTCCTGGCAGGTAGGAGGTGGCTGTGCCCTGGCAGTGGCTGTGGCTGTGCCCTGGCAGTGCCCGTGGCTGTGCCCATGGCTGTGCCCTGGCAGTGCCCTGGCAGTGGCTGTGCCCGTGGCTGTGCCCGTGGCAGTGCCCTGGCAGTGCCCATGGC